GATGCACGTGTTTTCTATTATGGTTAAAAGTTATAACATGCTCTATAGACCAACACTCCCGATGTTCAGGGACTCCCAACCATCGAATCAGAGAAACATAGGGCTGCCAGGGATTCCAGAGGTCATCTAGTCCAGTGATTTGCAACCTTTGTGGGCTCAGGACCCATTTGTAAAATGGCCTGTCACCACCCACTCAATAGCCACAGTGCAAAAAGTATCTGGCTTACTAAGTATTTCTTACCCACGATATAGAACGTAGACATTAACGTAACACGTACTAGATACATACACTGTGCGTACTGCAGCTCCTGTCCCGCGGGGCTGTGCTCCCCGCTCTTGGCCTCGTGACCTCTAGGGTTGCCGTGCCACTCAGCTTTGGCCCGGCCCCCCTGACAGTGCCACTCATTCATATTTGGCCCAGTTGGCCCTGCACCAATGACGATGGAGGGGTGGCTGGGCCAAACCTGAGTGGTGCCAGGACCCAGTGCACCAGGTCGCAATGGGGAGCTGAGCCCTGACGGCTGTGGGGCAGGGGGGCTCTGCAACACCCCCAGGGCCTCTCACGTAACCCTTTGACACACCATGGTGACCCAGTTTTAAGTTGCGACCCAGGGGTTGAGAAACCCTGATCTAGTCCATCCCCCTGCGCCGAGGTGGGATTAAGTATACCTAGAGCATCCCTGACAGACGGTACCATCAGGCAACCTGCAGCCAACCCCAACCGATGGGAGCTTTAGTCCTCACTAGCTGGAGCTTTGTTCTTCAAGCACTCGCTTGAAATGAGTCAGCTAAAACAGTCGCGTCATTTGGAAAACCTCTGCCAATATGCAGGTGAGAGTCTGAGAGGGGTGTTGCAGGAGGAGGTGGCCCGTTCAGGGTGTTAGATGGGATTATTTCACCTGGGTGCAGTGAGCCCACCTCCCGGGTAGGGGGTTGCGAGTCCAAGATCTGCTGAAGCTGTGCGCAATGGCCTTACGGGGGCCTGCGTACCATGTGACAAGTGGCCACCCGAAGACCATGTGACTTGTCAACTCTCCATGGACTCAAGGCACCATTTCCCACCACAGGCAGATGCTGGTTTCTAAGGCCTGGTCTACACTATGCGGTGAGGTTGATGTAAGCTGCCTTGCATTAACCTAGCTGTGGAAGCGTCTTCACTTAAGAACAGCCATACTGGATCAGACCAAAGGTCCATCTAGCCCAGCATCCTGTCTCTGACGGTGGCCAATGCCAGGTGTCCCAGAGGGAATGAACAGGTAATCATCAAGTGATCCATCCCGTGTCGCCCATTCCCAGCTTCTGGCAAACAGAGACTAGAGATACCTTCCTTGCCCATCCTGGTTAATAGCCATTGATGGACCTATCCTCCATGAACTTATCTAGTTCTTTTTTGAACTCTGTTATAGTCTTGGTCTTCACAACATCCTCTGGCAAGGAGTTTCACAGGTTGACTGTGCGTTGTGTGAAGCAATACTTCCTTTTATTTGTTTTAAACCTGCTGCCTATTAATTTCATTGGGTGACCCCTAGTTCTTGTGTTGTGAGGAGTAAATCACACTTCCTGATTTACTTTCTCCACACCTGTCACGATTTTATAGACCGCTATCATATCCCCCCCTTAGTCGTCTCTTTTCCAAGCTGAAAAGTCCCGGTCTTATTAATCTCTCCCACTGACGTAAGTGCCTCTCTATGCCGACTTAATACCACCACCTCCCCGAGCAGCACAGAGTCATGGTGGACATGTCATCAGGTCGATGCAGTGTCAGTGGAGAGCTGTGTTGCTTACAGAGACTGTCACTGGCTTGCAGGAGCCATCCCGCAATGCCTCACCCTGAGAGTACAACCGATACCAGCGTGACTGGTGAGGACGTGCACCGCTGACGCAAGACGCCAAGCACGCGCGCGATTTAGTAAGCGTGGTGGCTGTGCGCTGACGTACGGTAAGTCGACATAATTTTTTAGTGCAGACCCGGCCTAAGCCTTTGTCGATTTCCCTGCTGGGTGAAAGGGGTCAGGCTGACAGCCCCGGAGCCCGAAGGCGCCTACTTTGCAGCTGTAGCGCAAGCTTCTCCTGCGGTCAGCATGCCTCAGCGGAGACCGGGACCCAGAGGGAAGGGCTGAATTCCTGGGCATATCTCCAGGTCTGTCTGCCCTGCAGCTGAGGCTGCCAACGACAGGGCAATCTGTGAGCAGGATTTCTGGGATGGGGTGTGACCTTAGGAGTGTACTATAATACCTCATTGGAAGGTGACACAGGGCCAGAAAGAGTTAATTAACTCACAGACTTACCTGACCCATGGCCGAACCTTAAAGACTGGCTAGGAAGATATGTAAATGAACAGAGCTTTGAAATGCAAGCCGGCATTGTTAGAGATAGAAGGAGTACTTGTGGCACCTTAGAGACTAACCAATTTATTTGAGCATGAGCTTTCGTGAGCTACAGCTCACTTCATCAGATGTATACCGTGGAAACTGCAGCAGACTTTATATACACACAGAGAATATGAAACAATACCTCCTCCCACCCCACTGTCCTGCTGGTAATAGCTTATCTAAAGTGATCAACAGGTGGGCCATTTCCAGCACAAATCATTTCCACCCAGCACAAATCCAGGGTGAGAAAACCTGGATTTGTGACTGGAAATGGCCCACCTGTTGATCACTTTAGATAAGCTATTACCAGCAGGACAGTGGGGTGGGAGGAGGTATTGTTTCATATTCTCTGTGTGTATATAAAGTCTGCTGCAGTTTCCACGGTATACATCTGATGAAGTGAGCTGTAGCTCACGAAAGCTCATGCTCAAATAAATTGGTTAGTCTCTAAGGTGCCACAAGTACTCCTTTTCTTTTTGCGAATACAGACTAACACGGCTGTTCCTCTGAAACCAGAGATAGAAGGGTAGCTGTTTGCTCAGGTCTTGTGATGTAAGCAAACAAGTCTTGTCTGTTATTATAGCTTTGATTCAAAGATCAAAAAAGGATTATTAACATTTATGATGACACTTGAGTGAAACAGCATTATTGTCTATATGTCGCTTTGAAGGTTGTGATAAACTGTAAAGGAACTGTTTAATGGATAAATTACACTATGCTAAAAGCCAGGGTGTTTGGGAGACACAAGATTAAGCTTATTCTCTCAGACCAAGAGGCTGCTGGAAAATGTATAAAAACCCGGGGACACGATCCTATTTTATCTCAGATCTGCTTGGGGTTTCAAGAGGGGGAAACCTTAAGCCACAAGAATTGAGATCCCCCGTCACTGGCTTGAGTCACCCTGAATATGGACATTGGACTATAACCTATGGACTATTTCTAAAAGGACTTTTGGCAACTACAAGCTCATCTCTGCTATGTATCTGAACCTTAAGAATTGAATTCAAGTCTGTATGTGTACTGATCTTTTAACCAACACACGCTCTCTTTTCTTTTTTAATAAATTTTAGTTTAGTTAATAAGAATTGACTATAAGCGTGTATTTTGGGTAAGATCTAAGTTATAATTGGAGCTGGGTGTGTGGCTGATCCTTTGGGGCTGGAAGAACCTTTCCTTTTATAGGATGAGATAAGATTTTCAGTAATTATCATCATATCTGACGTGTGTGTCTGGAGGGAGGCCTGAGGCTGGGCGCTTTAAGGGAACTGCATTATTTGGACTTCTGAGTAACCAGTGAGGTACTATAGAAGCAGTTTTGTGCTGGCTTGGTAAATCTAAGTACTGGAATATCCACCAGCGTTTGGGATTTGTCTGCCCCGTTCTGTTTGCAGCTCACCCTAATTGAGTGACCTCAGCTGGCTCCCATTGTCACATGGGGCATCTGTCCAGTGGGCACCAGAGGGAGAAGGGAAACAGGAAGACGACAGCAGGAGCTGGGGAGTTAAGGAGCACTGAGATCCAGAAAGATTGAGTGACCTCAGCTGGCTCCCACGGGCACCATTGTCACATGGGGCATCTGTCCAGTGGGCACCAGAGGGAGAAGGGAAACAGGAAGATGCCAGCAGGAGCTGGGGAGTTAGGGAGCACTGAGATCCAGAAAGATCTGGGAACATGCAAAGGCTTAGCCTAAAAAATAAAGAGCCTAAAAGCTGGAGCCCACAGGCTAGTGAACAAAGCTCCTCTAGTGCTCCCGAACCAGCATTTGCCATCCCACTACTCAAACAATCCAACGCAGGTTAAACTATCAGCATGCTGGAAACCAGCAGCCCGACTCTCTCCAGAGCAGGGAGTGGAAGTAGGAGCCTGTCCAGTGCTTGGAGCAGTGGACTGAGAGTCAGGACTCCTGTGTTCGATTTCTGACTTGCTATATGACAGAGGAGTCACTTAACCCCTGCGTGACACAGTTTACCAGCCGAGAAAAATGGGACCTAACCCCTCTTTGCAGGGCGCTGAGAGGATTACAGAGGGACAGTAAATAGCTTGGAGATCTTGGAGGGAAGGCTTACAGCTGTGCGAAATATTTTAATGTAGAAAAACTAGTGTGGCTAATATCGCCCTCTGCTGGTGTGTATTAATAATGAAATGAATTCCTTTCCAGTTTGCTTGCAAGACCAGATGTCTTCACTCTTCCACAAAACACGAGCTCCCAGCCCGCAAGGCAACCAAGCAACCAGAGTCCCGATTCCAAAGCAGGCGCTCCATCAACCAAGCGTACTGGGTCAGGGAAAGCAGGGTCACAGAAGAGGCCTTAACCAGCTACTAGTTTTGGTTCCAACTCTAACCCCGGCACACGGTTTCGGAGAAGCAAGTAGGAAATCAAAGCCTTCGGAGCTGCTTGTGTGCCGATAAACGCTCAATTCCTTTTGGTTAACTGGCCCGTCACACGTTTTTCAGTCATCACCTTTCCCCTTGGTCTGTTTCACCCCCTAAAGTTGCTCCGACATCCTGCCCCGTCGCGGCGCTTTCATGCTCACGAGAGACAGACACGAAGCCCTCCGCCCCCAGCTGTGCGCCCCCAGCCCACCCAAGAGAAGAGCAGTGACAGTAGAAAAGGGAAGGTTACTGTACCTCGGGACTTACTGTGTTTTTCTTAGTCATCCGCCACAGAATGCAAGTCAGGAGCATGTGGCCCAGGGCCGAGGTGATAAAGAGGATGAAGGCGTTTTCGTGGATTGCTGCATCGACAAGAAAACAGGTTTCCCGTTAATGCGGAGCATGGAAATGAGCCAAAGGGAGCTGCCTGAGGAATGCTGGGGAGGCCACAGCAAGGAGAAGGCAGCGTGCATTACAAGGCCCCTGCTGGGAGGCTTGAAGGAGCTGGGTCAGTACTGCCTAGTAGTGACCCGGGACCCAAAGCTCTGGGGCTCTATTCATGGTGCTGCCGCTAACAAGCTGGGGAATCAGGGGCCAGCCATGTGACGTCACTCCACTGCCTTTTTGGGGCATGCTCTCAGTGTGCACGGAGCAGGAAAGAGAGCACCCCCCCAGGGCTTAGAACAGTGGTGGGCAAACTACGGCCTGGGGGCCACATCCGGCCCTCCATACGGTTTAAACCGGCCCTCGAACTCTTGCTGGGGAGCAGCGTCTAGGGCTTGTCCTGCTCCTGCGCTCCAGCCAGGGAGCGGGGTTGGAGGGCGCTCCGGGCACGTATGCTGAGTTTCCCGGAAACAGCAGAATGTCCCCCCTCCGGCTCCTACGTGTTGGGGCAGCCAGGGGGCTGCGTGTGCTGCCCCTGCCCCAAGCGCCACCCCTGCATCTCCCATTGGTCGGGAACTGCGGCTAATGGGAGCTGTAGGGGCGGTGCCTGCAGACAGGGCAGCACGCAGAGTCAGCTGGCCGCACCTCCGCATAGGAGCCAGAAAGGGGAAATGCTGCTGCTTCCAGGAGCTGCTTCAGGTAAGCGCCACCTGGAGCCTCCACCCCTGCCCCAGCCCTGACCCCTCTCCCGCACCCAACCCCCTCCCCCAGCTCACAGTCCCCTCCCGCACGCTGAACACCTCATTTCTGGCCCCACCCCAGAGCCCTCACCCCCCCATGCCCCAACCCCCTTGCGCCAGCCCTGATCCCCCTCCCGCCCTCTGAACCCCTTGGTCCCAGCCTAGAGCACCCTCCTACACCCTAAATCCCTCATCCCCAGCCTCACCCCAGAGCCCGCACCTCCGGCCAGAGCCTTTCCCTTCCCGCCCCCCAACCCTCTGCCCCAGCCCAGAGCCCCCTCCTGCACCCTGAACTCCTCATTTCTGGCCCCAGCCAGAGCCTTCACGCCTCCTGTACCCCAACCCCAATTTCGTGAGCATTCACAGTCCACCATATAATTTTCATACCAAGATGTGGCCCTCGGGCCAAAAAGTTTGCCCACCCTGGCTTATAATGTGGCTTTGGGGCAGGGTGTAATCTGAGCACAGGAATCAGCTGAGTGACACCAATTCTTATGCAAAGGGGGGGGGGGAGGTTTGACAACGAGGCTGCTTGGTGGTGTCATTGTCCCCATCTATACAGCAGGGACAACGTCACTCTCCTCCTCGCAGGGGGAATGGGAGGCCGTATTCTCTCATGTGCATAAAGCCCGTTCACAGCCTGAACTGGAAGGGGCCAGACGAGGCCAAAGGGTCATTACTGGATGACTGCCCTGCACCTTTGCATTTAGCCTGACATGCTTTACAGACGTGCAAACCTGGAAAACAGGTCAGTGTCATTATCTCCATTCTACAGATGGGGAAACTGGGGCACAGAGATGTTAGGTCACTTCCACAGTGAGTCAGTGGCAGAACTAGGAAGAGAAGCCTCGTCTCCGGGCTCCCAACCCCTTGATCTAACCACCAGACAGACAATGAGCAGTTATTATTCTTGTTAATAATAGCGAGACTCCCTCTGGGTAACTGACTGCACATAGATTCCGAGTCAGGACAGAGATGTAACCTCTGACCTCTTTAGAGGAACGTTGCCAATCCGGGCAGAGGAACTAAAGGTGTTCTCACCCCCATTAGAGAAGCCCGTGTGATTCTGGGTGGGTCATTTTAAAATAAATGGTTCAAATTAAGAAAAAAGATCACAACCCTTTCCCCACAAACTTATCCACCAAGCAGCTTCTGCAGCCTTGCACTTACAAGCAACCCTACAATAACAAAAGAATGTAGGTGTCTTATTTCAGGGTAAAAGAAGTCTGGCAGGGGGTGGTAATAAACAGCGAATTCATCGTGAAGAATAACCTTGGAGATCCCTTGCCAGAGACTGTCAAAGGAAGCCTGTTTTCGTTTCAGTGGAAACAAGGGAGTTGGTCAATGCTAAGGTTGTCAGCCCATAATAACGGGGCTGGGAGAACTGGTATGAACTTTAGCCTGTACCCCAAACCTTGCTCACATATGCAATACGCTCCCAGGACTTCCAGTCCAATACTCACAATGTGCTCTGGACAAGCCACAGAGGACGTAAGATTTGGGGGGAATGTCTGTCCCAGGGGTTCTGCAGCGGATGGAGACTGACTGAGCCCTCGAGGGAATCTTTTAATGTGGTGGGCGAGCCTGTTCAGAAGGTTACTGGTGGCACGTCCAGCCGCACGGAGGCCTCAAGGAAGCAAAGGCATCAATGCACTTTGGGGCACCAGAATCCATCTATGAGTCACTGAACTCTTTGGAAAAACAAAAGGAGTACTTGTGGCACCTTAGAGACTAACCAATTTATTTGAGCATCAGCTTTCGTGAGCTAAGCTCACTTCATCGGATGAACTCTTTGGGGCATTCGCCAGTCCCAGTGCCTTGAGGACCAGACACTGATGCACTGTGTTGGTAAGTTGAGGAGGGAGTTCTAGGGAATAGCACAGTTTACATCAGGGTGGCTGCTTGCCCCAGGATAACCGCGCATCAGTGAAGATCAGGGAGGGGAACAGTCAGACCCATTCTCACGCCTTTATACCTTCTTTCTCAACCACTTTTCCCCAAACTTGGCAAATCCCCTGCTCCCCATTTCAGGAACTCGCCAGCTCTGAAGGTCTAAATCTAAATAGCTTCCTCCCGTCCTTGGAAGAGGAGCACAGCGAACAGGGCTAGCGTGACAAGCCCTGTATCCAGAGACCAGGAGCTGCAGCAGTGCGAGCTTCCTATTCATTATCTATGTAATGCACACCAAACCTGGCCTGGGCAAGGTGCCTGCAGGGTTGAGAGGGGTGGTCAGTTTCCAGGGCCCATTCAGGCCTTGGCCCTCTGCAGAGGCTTCCAGCAAGAGGGCCAATTAACGCCTCATTTTGGAGGTGTTTGTTACCTGGGTCCTTGCCCACAATGCACTGCACTGAGATCCAACCAACCCATTTCAGATAGGCCACCTAACAGCCATCAGGAGGTAAGGACTTTCTGTCACTGCCACCTGGGGCTAGATTCAGACTTCTGACCTAGGGATGACATAAACAGGCTCATTGCAATATTTCAGCAGTTGGTTTGCAAATGCCAACTCGTTACCCCTTACGCTGAACAATCTATCCCAACTCATATTTAGCTCACACGCTCCGATTTCCTTCCCCAGACCTGGAAAAGACCTCTGTGTAGCTCAAAAGCTTGTATCTTCCACCAACAGAACATTAGAACGGCCACACTGGGTCAGACCAAAGGTCCATCTAGCCCAGTGTCCTGTCTTCTGACAGTGGCCAGTGCCAGGTGCCCCAGAGGGAATGAACAGAACAGGGAATCATCAAGTGACCCATCCCCTGTCACCCATTCCCAGCGTCTGGCAAACAGAGGTTAGGGACACCATCCCTGTCCATCCTGGATAACAGCCATTGATGGACCTATCCTCCATAAACAGATCTAATTCTTTTTTGAACCCTGTTATAGTCTTGGCCTTTATAGCATCCTCCAGCAAAGAGTTCCACAGGTAAACTGTGCATTGTGTGAAGCTGGTACAGTAAAATCTATTACCTCAACTACTCTGTCTCTTTCGTATCCTGGGACTAACCTGGCTACAACACTTCAAACAAATACATTGATGCGACAGACGGTGATTTCCTGCAATATCATAGCAAATTAAGTTTAAATATCTTAGGAGTTCACTGTATTAAAAATGGCAAATGTTTATGTCTTATTGTGAGATGATGTGTAATGTCTCTCGGGAGCACACTTGACTAATGCAAACCCTGAGAAGTGCTATGAGCTTCAAAGGACTAATTGAAAATGCTGTGAAGTTTGAAAGCTACGTGGGTTTCCCAGGAACTCTCTAGGGGGAGGTGTCTGCAAACGTACTCCCTCTGGTGCTGAAGCAGCGCCTGGTCCATGAGGACACATCAAAGACCCAAAGGGTGTGAAGAACTGACTCAGATTCTGGGGGGTGCTTGTTCTGAGCTAACAGCTGTAATGAACTTATGAGCACAGAAAACTGTCCTGATGCTTTGAAGGACTGACCTCCTGCCAGAGCCCTGGCTGGAGCTGGGGAGAGCTGATTAGCAAGCGTGGAGGTCAGGGGTGGGCAAACTACGGCCCGCGGGCTGGATCCGGCCCGCGGGATTGCCACTCCCGGGAGCGGCCAGCACCACGTCCCTGCGGTCCCTGGGGCAGAGGGCTCCGTGCGCTGCCCTCGCCTCCAGGCACTGCCCCCCGCAGCTCCCACTGGCCAGGAATGGGGAACCACGGCCAATGGGAACTTCAGGGGAGGCAACCACAGGCAGGGGCAGCCCGCAGAGCCCTCTGTCCTCCTCTCCCCCGGGGCCACAGGGACGGGGTGCCGCTGCCACCCCGGAGCCACCCCAGGTAAGCAGTGCCGAGCCGGAGCCCGCACCCTGCACCCCAACCCCCTGCCACACCCCAACTCCCTGCCCTGAGCCCCCTGCCGCGCCCCGCACCCCTCCTGCACCCCAACTCCCTGCCCTGAGCCCCCTGCCGCGCCCTGCACCCCTCCTGCACCCCAACCCCCTGCCACACCCCAACTCCCTGCCCTGAGCCCCCTGCTGCGCCCCGCACCCCTCCTGCACCCCAACCCCCTGCCACACCCCAACTCCCTGCCCTGAGCCCCCTGCCGCACCCCACACCCCACCTGCACCCCAACCCCCTGCCCTGAGCCCCCTGCACCCCGCACCCCTCCTGCACCCCAACCCCCCCCCCCCCCCCCCCCCCCCCCCCCCCCCCCCCCCCCCCCCCCCCTGCACCCCGCACCCCTCCTGCACCCCAACCCCTGCCACCCCAATCCCTGCCCTGAGCCCCTGCCGCCCCCTCCCCCCCCCCCCCCCCCTCACCCCAACTCCTGCCCTGAGCCCCTCCCCCCCCCCCCCCCCCCCCCCACCCCAACCCCCCGCCTCCTGCACCCCAACTCCCTGCCCTGAGCCCCCTGCCGCACCCCGCACCCCTCCTGCACCCCAACCCCCTGCCACACCCCAACTCCCGCCCTACCCCCCCACCCCAACCCCTCCCCCCCCTCCTCCCCCCCTCCTCACCCCAACCCCCTGCCACACCCCAACTCCCTGCCCTGAGCCCCCTGCACACCCCCGCACCCCTCCTGCACCCCAACCCCCTCCCCCCCAACTCCCCCCCCCCCTCCCCCCCCCCTCCTCCCCCAACCCCTGCCCATCCCCTGCCCTGAGCCCCCTGCCACACCCCGCACCCCTCCTGCACCCCAACCCCCTGCCCTAAGCCCCCACCGCACCCCACACCCCTCCTGCACCCCTATCCCCTGCCACTCCCCAACTCCCTGCCCTGAGCCCCCTGCCGCACCCCATACCCCTCCTGCACCCCAACCCCCTGCCACACCCCAACTCCCTGCCCTGAGCCCCCTGCCGCACCCCACACCCCTCCTGCACCCCAACCCCCTGCCACACCCGAACTCCCTGCCCTGAGCCCCCTGCCGCACCCCGCACCCCTCCTGCACCCCAACCCCCTGCCACACCCCAACTCCCTGCCCTGAGCCCCCTGCCGCACCCCGTAACCCTCCTGCACCCCAACCCCCTGCCACACCCCAACTCCCTGCCCGAGCCCCCTGCCGCACCCCACACCCCTCCTGCACCCCAACCCCCTGCCCTGAGCCCTCTTGTACACCCCACAGCCCTCCTCTGCCCCAACCCTTTGCCCTAAGCACCTTCCTGCACCCCGCACCCCCTCTCACATCCCGCACCCCAACCCCCGTTCCAGCCCTACATTCATGGCCCTGCACGCAATTTCCCCACCCAGATGTGGCCACCGGGCCAAAAAGTTTGCCCACCCTGGGGTAGGCTTGTCGCTTGCTTTTCACGTTTTCTCTGCAGCGCCTCCACCTTAGGCATCAATGAATTTGCTTCCCAAGAGCTGCGTGGGAACTTCACTGTTCACAGCCTCTGAGGAGAAGGCAAAGCAGGCCTGCGGAGGCGGTCTGCCTCGCTGGGGTATTCACAGCCTGGCCAGCAAGCTGTGCAGCCTGGAAATGCCCTGGTCAGGAGGGAGAGAGACGCAGGTCTCCACCCCAGAGAAGTGATGGCTGGGGAACTGGAAGCCTGAGAGGGGATGCCCGTGCTGGATCACGGAGGGAGAAATACAGGTGAACCATGACAGCTGGCATTAACAATGCCCAGTGCCTAGAACGGACGCGTCTGGACCTGACTCAGTGAGGAGGTGAACAGGGGTTCCAGGCTAGTGCAGCAAGGGACAAGGTCCTGTAAACAGCACCAACCCAGCAACGAGTGGGTGAGCAGAACCAGAGTATCTGGCAAACTGGCAGAGGGCATGTGTAGAAACACAAGTGACTAGCAGGAGCCTGCGAGACACTGAGAGCTTAAAAGGTGCTGCATCTCCCACCCTCCTGAGCTGTTTGCCCTGCACACCGACAGGGGCGGCATAGCAAGACCCTGTCTTTTCACACACCCACTCGACACCAAGCCAGGGCACAGGTTGCCCTGTTCTACCACCGGTACCTGCTAGGAAATCCTGTCCCCTTTGAAATCAATAGGAAACGACCCATTGAATTCAGTGGGCTGGGGGTTGTCTCCCTGATGTGAAATCATCACCGTTTTCCTCCCCACCACATCGGATGTCTACGGCCAAGTGCCAACTGGCCACTGATCCTTCCTGGCAATATCACCAGTCCCCAGCAAACTGAGGCCGGGACCTCATCACCACCAAGTCAAGGCACCAGAGACAGCTCCACCCCGATCTGACTCCCAGCAGGACAGCTGCTCTCTGCCTCCCTGGCCCTGCTGTTGTGCCTTAGAGCCCGGCTTGCTGAGGGTCGCTGCCTCATACCAGGGCTTCTACTCAGAAAGTTGCCTGTACAGAAATGGCACCTTCTTCCCACATGCACTTAGTAAAACCCGCTTTCCGCCCTCCTGCTTCCACTGCCGTCTGCAGGCAGCGATGCCACGGTCCGACCCGTTCCAGTCTGGGTCACGCACAACCACAACTACCTTCCAACAGCCGGCCACCTCCACCAATTTGACCCAGTTGAAAGCAATGGGCTGGTTTCACTGGCGGAACTCCACTGAAGTCACCAGGGATGAACTGGGCTCACGGGGTTATCACAGGTGTAACTGAGGCCTGAAATTGACTTGCAGAATCTTTGTTACTGGGGCGAACATGCAAGTCAGAAAGAACTCAGCTTGTCTTTGAGATCCCAGGGTGACAGCTCAAAAACCTGGCACAAATGCTAGACACACAAAGGCCCATCGTGCCATTCTTACAGGATTGTCATTCAGACTACAACTGCACCAGTCTGTCTCTACACCTGAAAATTAAACCATGCTAACTAAACCGAGTTACCCAACTGCACGCATTTTTACCCAGTTGCAAACAGATGGGAGAAGCGCATCTCCTAGCCCACCATGCACAGATACCCCCACACACACAAAATGGCCACGCAGTTTGCTTTAACTTAAAATCAAGAACTTCACCTTCCATAAGAAAGGCCAAACTGGGTCAGACCAAAGATCCATCTAGCCCAGTATTCTGTCTTCGGACAGTGGCCAAAGCCAGGTGCCCCAGAGGAAATGAACAGAACAGGGAATCATCAAGTGATCCATCGCGTTGCCCATTCTCGGCTTCTGGCAAACAGAGGCTAGGGACACCATCCCTGCCCATTCTGGCTAATAGCCATTGATGGACCTATCCTCCATGAACTTATCTAGTTCTTTTTTGAATCCTGTTAGTGTCTTGGCCTTCACAACATCCTCTGGCAAAGAGTTCCGCAGGTCGACTGTGCGTTGTGTGAAAAAATACTTCCTTTTGTTTTAAACCTGCTGCCTATTAATTTTATTTGGGGACCCCTAGTTCTTGTGCTATGAGGAGGAGTAAATAACACTTCCTGATTTACTTTCTCCACACCACTCATGATTTTATAGACCTCTATCATATCCCCCCTTAGTCGTCTCTTTTCCAAGCTGAAAAGTCCAAGTCTTATTAATCTCTCCTCATATAGAAGCTGTTGCATATGTCTAATAATTTTTGTTGCCCTTTTCTGAACCTTTTCCAATTCCAATATATCTTTTTTGAGATGGGAGGACCACATCTGCACACAGTATTCAAGAGGTGGGCGTACCATGGATTTATACAGAGGCAATATGATATTTTCTGCCTTACTGTCTATCCCTTTCTTAATGATTCCCAACATTCTGTTAGTTTTTTTGACTGCCGCTGCACATGGAGTGGATGTTTTCAGAGAACCATCCACAATGACACCAAGATCTCTTTCTTGAGTGGTAACAGCCAATTTAGACCCCATCATTGCATATGTATAGTTGGGATTATGTTTTCCAATGTGCATTACTTTGCATTTATCAACATTGAATGTCATCTGCCATTTTGTTGCCCAGTCACCCAGTTTTGCGGGATCCTTTTGTAGCTCTTCACCGTCTGCCTGGGACGTAACTATTTTGAGTAGTTTTGTATCATCTGCAAATTTTGCCACCTCACTGTTTACGCCTTTTTCCAGATCATTTATGAATATGTTGAACAGGACTTGTCCCAGTACAGACCCCTGGGGGACCCGACTATTTACCTCTCTCCGTTCTGAAAACTAACCATTTATTCCTACCCTTTGTTTCCTGCCTTTTAACCAGTTACCAGTCCATGAGAGCACCTTCCTTGAGACCAAACACAGGAAATTATCGGAGATAAAGTTATAAGCAACTAAAGAAGCAGTTAGAATGCAAGCCAGACTCAACCCGGACTGCAGTGTTTCTTATTGCAATGGGGCAAGTGGCAGAGTGGGGGACACAGCCTGAGTGCACAACTTTGAGCAAAGAAGTCCTAAATTCCAATCCCAGCTCTAACGCTGACTTCCTCTGTGATCTTGGCCATGTCGCGTCCCTACCATGAGGATCAATTAGTTAACACTTGCTACATACAAGTCCCAGGTATTTTTATTAATACAGGGCCCATGGATTTTAATGGAACGTGTGCATTTTTATTGATTTTTTTCCTGAACCGATGATCCCAAAAATAAGCACTAATAAAAAAATTAAAAAAACAACTGTAATTAAGTGACTCACGACTGTGCAGAACCCCAATTGTTACGACCCAGAGAATCAGCACAGCACGCTGTAGAAACCTACCATAGTTTTCCGAGGAAGAGACGTACGTCAGCAAAAGGAGAGCGAGGTTTTCGAGCACGTTGAGGGCGAAGTTGATGCGGCACAGCCGTGGGTAGCGAGGGTGCGCGCAGTGACAGCTGTGGTAATGGTTCCGGTACGCGATGGCCACCAGGAAGCGGGGCGCCGAGTGGACGCCAATGCAGAAACGCCACACGTAGCGCTGAGGGGTCTCGCCGCCAATCGCGGCACTGATGGAGGGGAGGTAATTGGGGACCTGGGAGAAAAAGGAGAGTTTGTTGAAGAGGCATTGGGATTTTGTAGGCGAATAGGTCAATTTACAGCTCTCTAAGATGTCGGAGTGCTTAACAAGGGCAAGTTCTGTCCCTAGCTCCCACATCAGGAAATTGAGGCACAGAGAAAGAAAGTAACTTGCTCAAGTTCACACAGCACCTATTGAGCTCCAGGGAAGCCAGGAATAAAACACAGGACTCCTGATGCCCAGGTCTCCTACTCTATTCACTAGACAACACTGCCATTCTTTGAGAAATCACATCTTTAACAGATTTTGCTCTCAGGGTCTAGTGGGTCCCTTTAAGTTCTCTACCAAGCTGAAGGCACGTACACCGCAGTGAGTAGCTGTCGTTTCCTGAAAGTGGAACAGCAGAGACCAGATCACGCAGAAAAGGAATCCAAACAGCGGGCAACACACGGTCCCGACAGCCAGGGTGGTAAAGCGGAGCCGGAAGAGGATCCCATCTCGATCCAGTGGCAGTGGCACCTGAAACATGTTGCTGGACCTGAAAGCAAGAAGCAACTATTTGAAGAATGTCCTTTCTACTACTGCAACAATCATCTCCAAGAGCACTTCAGCGGGTCAAATGCATACAACTGTAATCTGCTGTTAGCCAATACATATAGGTTATGTACTGTGACACTGAGCCAGAAAGGGTTAAGCAACCAGCAGGCTAAAGTGACCCAGATCAACTTTTAAGAACATATTAGAGAAGTACTGAAATGGTAAACAGGGCCATTTCTTGTAGATAATTATCAAAGCCACGTAAGTGGACTAAATCCTTTGAAACGCAAACCGATATTGTCATAGAATTAGAAGTAAATACTAACTGTCTTTGTCAGAGTTAAACCGTTAGGAGTTTAACAGTGTGATCTAATTAGCATGTAGACGCTAAACATCAGTTTCTGTCTGCAACATTTTGTTACTAATATTCTATTGATACAGAGAGCAAAAGGGAATATTAGCAATTAGATGAAACGTGGTGTAATATCATTGTCTTTATTTCTCTTTGAAGTTTGTAGCAAACTACCTGTGAACGTTTGAATGGTCAATTGCATTATGCTAATCAATGCAACTAATTACCTGTGTATACATAGCAAATAGGAATTGACTTCAAAGCAACAATGTGTATTATCTATTCTTCATCCAAGGAAGGTCCACTGTATTATCTGCTATCAAGAGGCTATCGTAACCTGCCAGAGATCTATAAAAGAACTCAAGGATCCTGTCATCTCACATCTGCTTAAACTTTGTCAGGGGAAGCAAGCTGCAAGACTGAGGTCTTCAGGTACCCTGGGATGTCCCTGAAAATTCTTATGGAAGGATGTGAACCAATTATATACACGGATTGCCTATTGGTCTATAGACTATGGAATTAATTCTGGAAGAACTGATAAGAACAGATTTAATAATTTTATTAAGATAATGTTGAAGTAAAAAGAAAACAGTACAGAGTTTAAGCATAGAAGTTTCTGGTTATCAGGGAATAAGGTACAGATTATCAAGGGCTGCAAAATTCGGTTTAGGAACAGGTGGCATAAGGAATACATAATCTGCAATCTCCCGATTGGGGGTAAAAGTTTAATGGGTCAAAGTACAGACATTGAGATACGGGGGTATGTTTTCCATATAATGGCTATGTTCAGGTGTGGAGTATAATGAGTGGATACGATGATGAGGATGGATCTACCCTCATTTGGTGGGATTTAATGTTCAGTGAGTTTATGGTTCCAGTTCATATGGTCCAATGGAAAAAGTCTCTCAGTCCCTTTCCCACAGTTGATGCACGATGTCGTACCGGCTCACACCTCCTGGTACTGTCGGTGGCTGGTGATGTGTTTGATGCAGATGTCCCTGGACCATCGGATGGTGTCCGAGACTATGAAGTGCCACATGAGCCGTGTGTAGCGTCGACCGATCCCACAGGTCCGCAGCACACGCTCGTTGCAGGGGTCCCAAGCGCCCAGGGCTCCGACGATCAGGGCGTCCATCTGCACCTCGTAGCCCTTCGCTCTCAGGGTGTCGGCCAGTGGGGCGTATTTTTCCAGCTTACGAGCTTGGGCTTCGCGGAAGGCCAGGGTCCTGTTCTCGAAGGAGACCGTGATGTCGACAAGGATGATCTTTTTCTGGGCCTTGTCGGTGACTACCACGTCGGGTCGCAACTGGCTGTCAGTACTGGGGATGGCGCAGTTCACGGCGACCTCCCCTAAGCACGGTGCGATGGCTTTCACCAGGTGGTTCTGGATAGCATTGTGGCGCAGCTGCCAGGCTCTACAGGCAGCTCACCATCTCTGCTATGAAACTGACTTAAGAACTATACTCATATCTGTTTCAGAGTAGCAGCCGTGTTAGTCTGTATCCGCAAAAAGAAAACGAGGACTTGTGGCTCCTTAGAGACTAACAAATTTATTTGAGCAGAAGCTTTCGTGAGCTGTACAGCTCACTTCATCGGATGCATTCAGTGGAAAATACAGTGGGGAGATTTATATACACAGAGAACATGAAACAATGGGTGTTACCATACACACTGTAATGAGAATGATCAGGTAAGGTGAGCTATTACCAGCAGGAGAGCGAGGGGGGGAAAAAACCTTTTGTAGTGATAATCAAGGTGGGCCATTTCCAGCAGTTGACAAGAACATCTGAGGAACAGTGGGGCGGGGGGAGGTAAACATGGGGAAATAGTTTTACTTTGTGTAATAACCCATCCACTCCCAGTCTTCATTCAAGCCTAAGTTAATTGTATCCAGTTTGCAAATTAATTCCAATTCAGCAGTCTCTCCTTGGAGTCTGTTTTTCAAGTTATTTTGTTGAAGAATTCCCACTTTTAGGTCTGTAATCGAGTGACCGAGATTGAAGTGTTCTCCGACTGTTTTTTGAATGTTATAATTCTTGATGTCTGATTTGTGTCCATTTATTCTTTTACATAGAGACTGTCCGGTTTGGATAATGTACATGGCAGAGGGGCATTGCTGGCACATATCACATTGGTAGATGTGTAGGTGAACAAGCCTCTGATAGTGTGGCTGATGTGATTAGGCCCTATGGTGGTGTCCCCTGAATAGATATGTGGACACAGTTGGCAACGGGCTTTGTTGCAAGGATAGGTTCCTGGGTTAGTGGTTCTGTTGTGTGGTGTGTGGTTGCTGGTGAGTATTTGCTTCAGGTTCGGGGGCTGTCTGTAAGCAAGGACTGGCCTGTCTCCCAAGATCTGTGAGAGTGATGGGTTGTCCTTCTGGATAGCTTGTAGATCCTTGATGATGCATTGGAGAGGTTTTAGTTGGGGGTTGAAGGTGACGGCTAGTGGAGTTCTGTTATTTTCTTTGTTGGGCCTGTCCTGTAGTAGGTGACTTTTGGGTACTCTTCTGGCTCTGTCAATCTGTTTCTTCACTTCCGCAGGTGGGTATTGTAGTTGTAAGAACGCTTGATAGAGCTCTTGTAGGTGTTTGTCTCTGTCTGAGGGGTTGGAGCAAATACGGTTGTATCGTAGAGCTTGGCTGTAGACAATGGATCGTGTGGTGTGGTCTGGATGAAAGCTGGAGGCATGTAGGTAGGAATAGCGGTCAGTAGGTTTCTGGTATACAGTGGTGTTTATGTGATCATTGCTTATTAGCATTGTAGTGTTCAGGAAGTGGATCTCTTGTGTGGACTGGTCCAGGATGAGGTTGATGGTGGGATGGAAATTGTTGAAATCATGGTGGAATTCCTCAAGGGCTTCTTTTCCATGGGTCCAGATGATGATGTCATCAATGTAGCGCAAGTAGAGTAGGGCATTAGGGGACAAGAGCTGAGGAAGAGTTGTTGTAAGTCAGCCATAAAAATGTTGGCGTACTTATATCTGTATGCATAATGATCTTTAACCACAATAACTCTTTCTTTTCCTTTTTAATAAATCTTAGTTTAGTTAATAAGAATTGGCTGGAAGCATGTATTTGGGTAAGATCTGAAATATTCACTGACCTGCTGGGTAATGTTTCCGATCTCTTGGGATTGGTAAAACTTTATATATGGTGAAAAAGATTTTAAGTAATCCTCACCACATTTGACTTGGCTGTCCGGGTGGGAGCCCAGGGCTGAATTACTTAAGGGAAACTGTATTTTTGGGCTTCTTGGTAACCAGTAAGGTAATATAGAAACTGTTTCGTTACTGGCTGGGTAAATCTAATTATTTAGGAAGGACCACCACTTTTGGGGAATGCCTACCCCATTCTTTGCAGTTTGCCTGATTAAGCACTCTCAGTGAGGCCTCTCTAGGCATTATGGTCACATATACGCACACTCCCCCCACCCCATATTAATAGATATTATATGTGTGGTATTAATCTAATATGTACGTGTTGTGTAATCATGCTAAATTGTACTATGTTTATTCTTGCTCGCACATGCTGAGGCATATATCTCACAATGCCCCAGGACAAATATAGCATGGCACTGGGCTTCGCAAATACAAAAACTGCCAAAAGCTAGACGTACAAGTGTTATGAACCAAATCAGCAATGTGATGGAAGGAAATAACTTAAGAAATGTGAATGCTTTGCATAGGTGTATCTTCATGCCTCTTTATGTTTGGAATTTAATATTCAAAACCAAAGATGGGAAAGTACAGGGAGGCACCAAAGATGGAGCTGACTAATTAAACTTGAAGTGACGTGAACAGTGCTGGGACTTGTAAACAGCCATGGTATCAAAGATGGCTAGTTTAAGGGGGAATTTGGGAAGCACACCGTCTGTATAAGTCGAACTGAACATGCTGTCAGAATTTGCTTCCTGGGAAGGACTGGTGTGGTATTAACTCTTTCTTTCCTATACTGTACTGCTATACTGTACTGCAAGAGCCTTTCACCCCTGTAATCCTGCGTTCGAATCTGCATATACCCAGGGCTGGTCCTTAAATACAAGCAATATGAACAATTGCTTGGATCTCCATACTCACACTCAGCTACTCATTGTTTAAGGCTCCCTTATGGCAGCTGGGGTGAGAAAGCTACACCTAAACTGATTCAGGTACCCGTTCCCCCTTCTAGGACCAGCGCCAGGAAGGGATTGCAAATGGGTCATGCAAGCCTATGGCCTAAACCCCAGGGCTGTGCACCCACCATCCCCACTGAAGACAGTGGGAGTTACAAATGCTCAGCTACTCTCTGGATCCGGGCCTGAGATTGCTGAGGAGGGGCCCTGAAAATAGTCAGGCTGTCCCTACCTCACACCTTATACAACCGGGACAAACCTGCCATGAAGCCAATTACCACACAGGGTGTAAGTCAGGACCGGATTTAATAGTTGGCATCTGAACTGCGTTTTTTTCCTGCTGGTGTCTGCTTTAGGTTATGAGCTCCTGGAGTCAGGGACAGTGTCTCCTCATTTGTCTGCACTAAGCACACAGCTGTGGCTCTATTAAGGAAACATTGTTATTTATCTGTGCCATAATCTTATGGGAGTCGCATCTGCATTCTAAGAATTTCAGTTCTATAGATCAGCCTTCATCACGTCAGAGGCAATAGGGTTACAGCATCAAAAACGATGGGGCAATGGTTAGTTTGGGCCACTAAGGCAGGGGTGGGCAAACTACGGCCTAGGGGCCGCATCTGGCCCTCCAGACATTTTAATCCTGCCCTCGAGCTTCCTCCGGGGAGCAGGGTCTGGGGCTTGCCCTGCTCCACACAGCTCCTGGAAGCAGTGGCATGTCCCCCCTCCAGCTCTTACCCGTAAGAGCAGTCTGGGGGGCTCCGGACGCTGCCCCCGCAGCTCCCATTAGCCGGGAACTGCAGCCAATGGGAGCTACAAGGGCGGCGCCTGCAGACAGGGCAGTGCGCAGAGCTGCCTGGCCATGCCTCCACATTGGAGCTGGAGGGGGGACATGCTGCTGCTTCTGGGAGCTGCTTGAGGTAAGCGCTGCCTGGAGCCTGCACCCCTGCCCCCCCCTCCCAGCCCTGATCCCCCTCCCACCCTCCAAACCCCTTGGTCACATCCTGGAGCACCGTCCTGCACCCCCAACCCCACCCCAGAGCCCGCACCCCCAGTCACACCCCAATTTCATGAGCATTCATGGCCTGCCATACAATTTCCATACCCAGATGTGGCCCTCGGGCCAAAAGTTTGCCCACCCCTGCACTAAGGCCTTGTCTACACTTGCCTAAGCCATGCCTCACCGGCTACACTGCTATTCATACCCATGTTAGCTGGGCATGCAGTGTCTGTACTCTACACGCCATCCTAAGTGTAGACCTACCCTTAGCGGGAAGCAACTCAAACGTAACAATACAGTCACAGAAGAGTGTGACGAAGTGGGGCTATTCTTAATGTCTCCTCTGAATAGTGTGGGGGTGCCTCAGTTTCCCCTAAGCAGTTCTTAAGTATCTAGGTGGTGGGGTAAGGGTGTATAATCATTGCAGATCCCTAGAGGGCAGGTGTGTGCAGGGGTCTGGACACAGAGAATGGCCGACACCCTGTTTCCTGGCAACTGGTGGCCTGGGCCCTTCCCCCCTGCAAGGTGAGAGCTAAACGGTTGGAGAACAAAGGAATCAGGTGACCTACTGGCCCGGGGAAAGGAACAAAGCCCAGAGGAGGAGGGGCTGGAGGGAGTTTTCAGTTTGGGGCTGGGTGGGACATGGAGTGAAGTGCAGAATGTGGTTGTCTGGCTCACTGCCCCCCAAAATGGACCCAGCTGAGGGGTCCTGTTCTCTGCACCTGCAAGCTCTGTTTTAGACCATGTTCCTGTCGTCTAATAAACCTCTGTTTTACTGGCTGGCTGATAGTCACGTCTGACTGTGAAGTTGGGGTCCAGGGCCCTCTGGCTTCCCCAGGAGCCCCGCCTGAGCGGACTCGCTGGGGGAAGCGCACGGAGGGGCAGAGGATGCTGAATGCTCCGAGGTCAGACCCAGGAAGGTGGAAGCTGTGTGACCTGTGTGTCCTGAAGACAGGCTGCTCACAGAAAGGAGACTTCCCCAGAGTCCTGACTGGCTTCATGGGGAGCAGTTCCAGAGCATCGCCCAGGGACTCCGTGACACCATGTTACCTGGCATGCAGTGTCTGTACTCTACACGCCATCCTAAGTGTAGACCTACCCTTAGAGGGAAGCAACTCGAACGTAACAATACAGTCACAGAATAGAAGCGAATTTAGTCTATTCTAGTCTCTCCAGCCAATGCAGGATTGTTCTCCCCAGTCTATTCTATCCATGGCTTTGTCCAGCCTGGAAATCACTGACCAAAGCCACTAGACCTGCAGGTGAGGGAAAGCGTCTTTAAACACAGAGCATCCCTTTCCTACTCAGGCAGGGAGGCCAGAGGTGACACAGTCATCCTGGCTTGTAACCCAGAGACAGGCAAGCGGTCCCTGCGCACACAGACCGAAGCCACTGGGGTGGTCACCTCCTTTGTCAGCCCCTTCTGGTAAAAGACCAGGGCAGTCTGCATTTTAAGCAAACATCTCCAGTTACTGGGAGGGAAGGAAGGACACACATGAACACCCCCCTCTGTGGAAGCGCCTTCCTCTGAGCTCCTGCGGTGTGGGATTGGCCACCAGAGCTGGGAGAGACAGTCTTTGCCTGGGCCTTAGGCAAGTTTGCCCCGAAACACAGAGCGAAACTCAGCCACACACCCGCCGAGTTCGATCACAGCCACAACCATGCAGCAAGCACCTTTGGGGAGTAAGGTGGAGTCCCCAAGCCCCCAGGCTGTGCTCTCCTAAAAGATGCCCCCAAAGCTGCTGCCCAAGTTCTCCCACCTCAGCCAGCGTGGGGGGTGGCAAAACAGAAACCCCACAGACCCTCCTTCTAAGACACCGGCTCCTCCCTCCAACCCTATTCCTGTCCCCACCCCCTCCCCTGGTTCCTACCCCCCCACATGCCTGCCCTCCAACCCCTCCCCAGGCTCCTGCACCTCCCCCCCACGCCTGCCCCATAACCCGTCCCCCAGCTCCTGCCCTCCCCCCACAACCCCTCCCCACTGCCTGCCCCAGCTCCTGCCCCCAACCCCTTCCCCAGCTCCCCCGCCACACCCCAACTCTTATCCCCCAACCCCTCCCCCGGCTCCTGCCTCTCAACACCCCCCAGACCCTGCCCCACGCCGCCCCGGATCCGCACCCGCGGGGGCTCCCCTCCTTCCCCCGCGCCCAGGGGTGCGGCGGCCTCCCGCAGGCTGAGACCCGGCCGCTTCAGCTCATGCCGGGCCCGGCCCCTCGGCCTAGAACCGGCCGCCGCGGCTCCCGCCCCGGCCCCCCGCTGGCCCGGCCGGCGCGGCCTCATTCCCCGGCCCGCCGCGGGCTGCGCCGAGCCTCCGCTCACCTGCTTCCCCTTCCGCCCTTCTCCGGCCGGCTGCGGGACCGCCCCGCGCTCCGCCCCCCGGGCCGCCCGCTCCGCCCGGCGCCGGCTCCCTGCCCCACGGTGCCCCCGAGCCTGCCCCTGCCCCACAGTGCCCCAGAGCCTGCCCCACGGTGCCCCAGCCTGCCCCCCGCTGCCCTGCGCTCCTGCCCCCTGCTGCCCCCGAGCCTGCCCCCCCGCTGCCCCTGAGCCCCACCCCCCCCCCCTCTGCCCCACGGTGCCCCTGAGCCTGTCCCACGCTGCCCTGCCTGCACCCCGCTGCCTTGCGCTCCTGCCCCACGCTGACCCTGAGCCTGCCGCACGGTACCCTGCCCTACTGCCCCACGGTGCCCCTGAGCCTGCCCCCCGCTGCCCTGCCCTCCTGCACCTATACCCGCAGCCCCGCCTCTGCCCCTGGGCCTGCCCCCCGCTGCCCTGCGCTCCTGCCCCTACACCCACAGCCCTGAGCCTACCGCACACTGCCCCTGAGCCTGCCCCCCGCTGCCTCTGCCTGCCCCTGGGCCTGCCCCTGAGCCTGCCCCACAGTGCCCTGCCCTACTGCCCCTACACCCGCAGCCCCTGCCCTCCTGTCCATGCTGCCCCTGCCCACCTGCCCCACGGTGCCCCTGGTCCCTGCAGTCCCAGGCCTGCCCCACGCCGCCCCTGCCATGCTGCCCCTGCTGCCCTTGCCTTCCTGCCCTTGCATCCACAGCCCTGGGCCTGCCCCATGCTGCCCCTGCCCCCACAGCCCCTGCCTTCCTGCCCACGCTGCCCAAGCCTGCCCCACGCTGCCCCTGCAGCCCTGGGCTGGCCTGCCCCATGGAGCTGCAAGCCACAGCGGCCCTGCGGGTAGCTGTGGCCCTTGAGGGCAGAGTCGCGGGGGTAGGGGAGGCGGGACAGGAATGCCCCCTCCTGCTTGGGTCCTGGCCTGGCAGGAAGCTGTGTGGGATGGGAGCCCTTCTGGCTGCACTGTGGCTTCTTTTCACGAGCAAAGAATTTGGCCTTCTGCCTCCTTTGATCTTCCCTCCCTCGTCTGTTCCCCCCTTCCACCACCTTGCGCTTTTCCTTTGTAGGGTCCTGCCAAATTCATGTCCTTGAAAAACATATCATGGACCGTGAAATCCAGTCTTTTGTGTGCTTTTACCCTTTGCTGTACAGATTTCATGGGGAAGACCAGCGTTTCTCAAATTGGGGGTCCTTATCCAAAAGGAAGTTGCAGGGGTCGCAAGGTTACTTTAGGGCAGTTATTGCCACACTCACTTCTGTGCTGCCTTCAGAGCTGGGCAGGCGGATAGTGGTGGCTGTTGGACGGGCCCCAGCTCTGAAGGCAGTGCCCTGCCAGCAGCAGTGCAGAAGTAAGGGTAGCAGAATTGCAGCCCATAAGAACATAATAGCGGCCATACTGGGTCAGACCAAAGGTCCATCCAGCCCAGTATCCTGTCTTCTGACAATGGTCAATGCCAGGTTCCCCCAGAGGGAATGAACAGAACAGGGAATCATCAAGTGATCCATCCCCTGTCGCCCATTCCCAGCTTCTGGCAAACAGAGGCTAGGGACACCATCCCTGTCCATCCTGGCTACTAGACATTGATGGACCTATGCTCCATGAACTTATCTAGTTCTACAATAACCTTGCAACCCCTTCACAACTCCTTTTTGGGTCAGGACCCCTACAATTACAACACTGTAGAATTTCAGATATAATAGCTAAAATCAAGAAATTTACGATTTTTAAAATCCTATGACCATGAATTTGGTCGGGCCCTAACCATTTGCCTTCCTTGGACTTAAGCTGATTTTAAAATGGATTCCTTTAGACGGGCACAAATGACAATGTGGACGTGCTGAGTTTGGTTTAAGGCCTGGTCCATGCACAAGTTTTGCACTGATTTTAAAAGTGTGTGTGTGTGTGTGTGGTGGGGGAAGGAGGTAATTTTCTAGCAAAAGAGTTACATTGTGGTTATGCTGGTTTGAGGGTGCCTTATACAAGAACAGCTTATTCCTGGAAGGAAATAAACAAATCTGTTGTGTATTACCTGGATGGTGCTCATAATCTTTCAGAGTAGACAGGACATAATGCACAATGTGACCCCTCCCACCCAGCAACCCATCACATAATGATAATACCTACCTCCTATGTAGTGCTTTTCAAACTGCTTTACAAAGGAGGTTGGTATCATTATCCCCATTTTACAGATGGGAAAATTGAGGCATAGAGAGAGAAGTGATTTGTCCAAGGTCACCCAGCAGGCCAGAGGAGAAGCCAGGAATTGAACCCAGGAATTGAACTGCTTACAGATACTCTGACTTTAGTTTCAGAGTAGCAGCCGTGTTAGTCTGTATCCGAAAAAAAAAAAGGAGGACTTGTGGCACCTTAGAGACTAACATATTTATTTGAGCATAAGCACGAAAGCTTATGCTCAAATAAATTTGTTACTCTCTGACTTTAGTGACATTTCCAGCCAGGTGGACACACACTGAATTCTTGTATCGGGGGGTAGCCGTGTTAGTTTGTATCCACAAAAACAACAAGGAGTCCGTTAAAGACTAGCAGATGTATTTGGGCATAAGCTTTCCTGAGTAAAAAACCTGAAGAAGTGGGTTTTTAGCCAGGAAAGCTTATGCCCAACTGAATTCTTGGTGTCCCCTCCAAACTCGTTCCTCTTGCAACCTGTGATCCTCCCTCCAAATTCCGAGCAAGTAATAGTTCAAACAGAAGACTGAGTGTTGGGGCTGGCGCCTGTTCCCAGGCTGTACCACTGGCTCACTGTGTGACAGCTTGAGCAGGCAACTCTGCTCCATGTCTCAGTTCCCCATCTAAGAAATAAGCTTAGTCACATCAGAGAAAGCAGTGTAAAATAGAGAGAGAAAAAAGCTGTGTACTGCTTCATCTAACCTTCATCTGGTATATTATATTTATGCGGCCAATCACATTTTCTAATCTAGAAGGCCAGTCTAGTCTGATTTCATTGGGATCACTCCTGTTAAAGTTAAATGGCATTAAAAACTTGCAGGATGGGGTTCTTCAGATTCTCAGCTCCTCAGAACAGGGGGCCCCATCGGCTTTTCGTAGCGCACTGAGCAGACTGATGGTGCTTGCGAAACGATACGAGTGTTGTAGCCCTGTCGGTCCCAGGATGTTAGAGAGACAAGGTGAGACCAACTCAGTGGGATAAAGATATTCCCTCGTCTACCACGCCTCTCTGGGGCGATAATCACACACGTTCCTCACAGGAGGCTTGAAGGCGCACGTGGAACAAGCGAGGCTGCGGAGGTGCGGGAGGAGGGCACCGAGGGTGCTCGCCCGCTGAAGCTTGTCTTTGGCAAAGGGGGGCATCGGGCAGATCAGGCGCTGGCAGGGGCGCTGCATTGCAGGGCTGCCGCGGGGGACGCCGGGTAGGGAGACCAGCTGTCCCGATTTTGCAGGGACAGTCCCGCTTTTGGGGGCTTTTTCTCATATAGGCGCCTATTACCCGCCCCGGTTTTTCACACTTGCTGTCTGGTCACCCGAAGGCAGCGCGGCCCAGTGGCTAGGGCAGCCGGCTGCTGAGGTTGCGGGGCTGCCTGTGCTGTGGGGTTGGCTGGGGCAGGGTGAAGGCCAGGCCAGGTTTGCGATGGGGGGGGGGCTGGGTTTACTCTGGGGCATCGAGGGGGAGCTGCTGGCTGCGTTGCTTTGGGGGGTCACCCACGCGGCTCGGGAGAACCTCCCTTCCCCGCTGAGGCAGGTGGCCTCTGCCCCAGGCCAGCCCATGCTGTTGCCATGGGAACGCCGGGATGCCTTCTGATTGGTGGGAGGCGGGTTAAGCCCCGCCTTTCTCCCCAGCCTTCAGAGGTGACTCAAGGACCCGGATGTAGGGAAGCCCCAGAAGTCGCTGGAAGAGGACGGATTCTGGTGCTTCATCTCGCAGCAACCGCTCTAGGGTTGACCAATGAGAACTCGGGTCGCTCGTGACGTTCGAAACACCCTCCCGCCAATCAGCAGGAGGAGCCTGCCCGGGGGGCGGGACCTGCCTCGCTTTCAAACGGCGGCAGCCAATAGGCTGACGGATCGGGGGCGAGGCGGGCCCATGGGGGGCGCGCGGGGAGGCGGCGCGCGCGGCGGGAGCGCGAGCGGAGTGTGACGCAGTTTCCCCCCCTGTGAGGCGACGGCGGGCGTCGTGGCGGTGCCGCTCGGTCTCGGCGCGGTCGAGTCGCTCCCTCAGCGGGGCCCGGGTCCTCGGTAAGGGGCCGGGGCGGACTCCGGGGCCGCGGAGCGCGGGAGGGTCTGGAGTGGAGCCCGGCGCCCTTCTCCCGGCTGCGCCTCGGACCAGGCCGCCGCGCCCCTGACTCGCCGGCCGAGCGCGGCCCTCGGGCCTCTTCCTCCTGCCCGCGGGAGCGGCGGCTTCTGCCCGGGGCTGGTCTCTGGGGGGGGCGCGGGCTTCTGGGGGCCTCCCGGGTACTTTGGTGCGTGGGGCGGTTCTCCCCCCAGGGGCGGCCTAGGCTGCTCCGTCCCCAACGGGCGGGGGGTGGTTGCCTCTGAGGGTGGGCGCGAGGCGGGGCGCGTCATGACTCTCCAGGGGGAGGACAGAGCAGTGGGGAGGGGGGTGTCTTCCCCCGGAACGGGATGGGGGGGGTGTTCTACAGAAGGGGCCTGGGGGGTGTAGATCTTGGGGGGGGGGCTGGGCTGTGTCGCCAGAGTGGGGGGGTGTAGATCTGGGGGGGGGGCTGGGCTGTGTCGCCAGAGTGGGGGGGTGTAGATCTTGGGGGGGGGGCTGGGCTGTGTCGCCAGAGTGGGGGGGTGTAGATCTTGGGGGGGGGGGGGCTGGGCTGTGTCGCCAGAGTGGGGGGGTGTAGATCTTGGGGGGGGCTGCCAGAGTGGGGGGGGGTGT